TTGAGATGAAGTCGATCTGATTTTTAGTGTAGTGTGTTGATCTGGTGAAATCAAATCCATGTTGCTCCTTTGTGAATATCCTTGCGCTTGTACATACTGTAAGTGAAAAACTTGGGCACTGTGGTAGAATGTAATTCCATATTAGATTTGTTTATTTGATATAAAGCGCACAGTGATACAGTATTATTTACTTGATTACGTTTCGAGCATAAATTATTGCTCATAATCATATCAATGTAATCACACTTCTTTCGACATCTGATTTTATAGTCCTGTCACCTGATCTCTCTTTGTTTTTTGTTTTTTGATTGGTAGTAAAGTTTTCCATATCTCTGGTATAGGTGTTGCGTCATTCCTATTACATGTGTTGGGTGTGGATTCGATGAACAAAGATTCAGTAATTAATCTCTCTCTCCACCTAGCTATATTAGACTTAAGTACAGTGGTTTTGTCCCATCCTATTGTGTGGTTGTGTGTTAATGAATGTAATGCAATGGCTGAGTGTTTTTCTAGGTTATTGATCTTATTGGGGTCTGCCGTTCTATGTTTAGCTAAATTCCTATGTTCTGTTAATCTAACTGACCCCGACCGGCTAGTTTGACCTATGTATTTGACTTCACAGTCATTACATGGAATTTGGTAGATTATATTATTTTGCTTAATTGGTTCTATCGGATCTTTTAGCCGACAAAGCTTACCTCTAAGTGAGTTTGTTGGTTTAAATGCCACCCTAATTCCAACCTTGTTGAGAATCCTACGTATGGTTTCTGATGTTCCTTCCTTGTATGGTATCACAATAGAGGTGTTGATTTCCTTTCTACTTATGTTGTCACTATTATTTGTATTTGTATTAGTGTTATTATTTTGCTTCTTATGTGTCCGTGTGAATTTCTTAATAAAATGATGGGGATAATTATTAATTATTAACGCTTCTTTTATGTGTTTCAATTCCTTATTTAAGTCCTTACAATGACTAGTGAGTTTCTCAGCTCTGTTATTTAGACATTTGACTAAACCCGCTTTAACTGACACTGGATGAGATGACTTGAAGTCTAGATATCTGTTAGAATGTGTTGGTTTTCTGTAGACGGTAGTATCTAAACCACCATCTATCCTTCGTTTTATTCTGCAATCCAACATAGGTAATTCTCCTTGTTCATTTTCTACTTCGTAAGTGAATTGGATTGCGTTAACTACTGAGTTTATGTGTGTCAAGAAACTGTCGATATGTTCCGATTTCAACACTGTAAATGTGTCATCTACATATCGCCACCATATCTTAGGTGTCGGATTATATGTTCGTAAAGCCATATCTTCCCAACTATCCATAAATATATCTGCTACTATAGGGGATATTGGTGATCCCATTGCTACTCCTTCTGTTTGTCTATATATCTTTCCCTGAAACTTGAAGACTGTCGAGGTTAAGCATAACTGCACTCCTAACATGATTTCACCAACCGATGCCTTGGTTCTTTGAGTAAGTTGTGAGTCAGTATCTAGTTGATTTCTGACTGCCTCCAGTGCCATATTGATTGGTATTTTAGTATAAAGACTTGTTACGTCAAAACTAACCATTTTTTCATTCTCTTCTATGTGCAGGTCATTAAGTTTTTGTTTCAACTCGTAAGAATTTACTAGTCTAGAGTTGGAACGGTCTCTAACAGGACGTAATACTGATGCTAAATACTTTGATATCTCATATGTTGGTGTGTTCGGAAGTCAACTATCGGCCTAATGGGATAACCTGCTTTATGAACCTTAATAGTACCGTAAATTCTGCTAGGATTATTAGTTTTTGGCATTAAAGTAAACCATTCGGACTTACCTAGAGATGGCTTCAGTCGGCGTATCAGATCTGTTGTAGATTTCTTAATTTTATTCATGACAGTATCTATAGGTTTCTTAATCTCTTCATATGGCCCTGTTTGGATATGTTCATCCATTTTTTTAAGATAATCCGATTTGTCCATAACTACTGTTGAGTTACCTTTGTCAAATTTAGCAATTAGCGATTAGTAATTGCTAAATCGCAGATATTAGTGTGAAACGTTATTGAATGGTATACTTTAACTTCACTCATAAAATGACATATACTTTCAACAGTAAGTACACAGAAAAAACTGAACTATAGGCAACCACTAGATTGTATAACCATACAGTAAAGAGGCTTGCTTTTTTAAAGGGAAGAATAAATTTGCAAGCAAAACTGACAGATGATTGATGGATACAGCATACTCAACATTCAAAAAACCAGCCTGCTTACTCATTCCGTTGAATCAACTGCAACTAAAGTAATATGACCTGATTTTGTAAACAGAATGAAAGAATAATTAACGAAGCATTTCGCTGTTAACTGTCGTTTGATTTCGTTAAGAATTCGCATATTATTTTAACATCGTTAGTGACATTCATTCACTGATTTGCACCAGCTCATAGAGATCTCAGTTCATTAGTTTTTAATTTTCACAACTGAATTATAGGTAACACTACTATACACCTTCACAATCTCAAGTAATTCTTTTCTTCTGACTAAAAAACCATTTCCTATTTCACACACAAACTAACAGAATGTTGATCTTTTCGGCTATGTTCTCTATGTAACTGCTTTAAATTCTAGTGTATATTGTGAATTTTGAAAGTAGCCTTTCTTCGAGCATTCCGGCCACTTCATTCATTGAATAACTGTTTGTAATAAGCGTTATAGTTTCAAACTATTGCAACTTCCAAAAGTCATAAGATAAAATGTAAACATTTTGTTATGAAAATGTCTTTGTTCGTGCTGAGCCATGAACAAGTTAGTATTTATGATCGACTGACATTAGTTAGAGAAACATCGGAAACCTTGAAGCAATGGACTGCTGTTTTGTCTTAGTATAGGAGTCCTCAGCAGTGCCTACACATGACCACTTCATGGGTGGAACCCAAGAAAAAATCAAACCATCATAATGCGTTCAGAAGAAGTATGTAAGACCTCTTTCTTTGCCGGTCATTAGAGATTATTGACCACTGTAGATTATTCACATACGACGCAACTATTCGCATTCTTTAATCACTTTTTGTATTTCCCCATCAATTAACTCATTTGAGAGGCAATTTATATTGATGTTTGATCGGGAGTTACTCTAGAATTTTCTACCCTTTTTACAATATACTCACGAATGTACATCTAAGAGAATGATTTCGTTGAAGAAGTTTTCGTCACTGCATTCGTCTTCTGAGACATCCGATTATTCTTCACTCAGTGAACTAACCTCATTAAGTGTAGTTACTCTTTCCTCTCTTAAATTTTCAAGTCATATTCTCCAAAGTCTATGTGGTGTTTAAAATTTGTGGGAGAAATTCTTTGCCACCGTCCTACCATATTGATATTTTGTAGTCTTTTACTAGCTGGATTTAGATCGACCTTATTTGCAATTTTAACAACCTTGTACATCAATTAGATGTTTTTAAATTTTTTCTCAGATTTATTCTCAACACCTGTAGGTCAAAGCTGGCCACTGTATTTCCTAATAAGTCTCTAAGGGTGGAAATTCCCTCGAAAGCACTTTTCTGTCACCCACTCTTATTCTACTTTACAGGTTAGGCGGAAGTTTTCTGAATGTACAAAGGAGTGTATTAGTTAATCTCTGGCTATATCTAGCAGCATGAAAGTTATGGAAGTGGTAATAAAACTCATTTTAAATTTTCAGGCAAATAGATCTGACGAGTTTCATCATCTGGTTTTGCTATTGCCAAATTCAGGAGGCTATCTACACTCTGTTACATTTGCATTTAATTTTCCGATGAACTAGGCTAAACACTCGCAACATACTTTCCGCATGAATTAAGTTGTTGCAAACAATCGTGACCACACCTGTATAAGGCGTTTTCTAGTTGGCTGAGTCACGAGCTTTGTTTTTTGTAGGTTATCAATAGGTGAAAACTGGTCTCAGTATGTTCCCTATAGTTACACCATGTTATTGACAGTAAAATTTGATTTTGCGCTGATAATTAGCGCTGATGGTATACAGCCCCAATCAGCTTCAACCGCATGTTCGGGAACGGAAATTCACTCTAAACGCTGGCTTATGGTATATATTGTTTCGTCTACATGAGTGTCTATGAATAATGAGGATACATCAGAGCAAACCATCCATTTAGTTGACTTTTTTTCTCAGTGAACCTGTAAGTGTCTTTTAAGCTTTGAATAGCTGATTCTTTTCGAACTGGTTGCAATTTATTCTCAAACTAGTGAAGCAGACTGTGACAAGTAGAGTTAGTCGTGAAGATTAGTAGACTCAATGATATACTTCTTTTGTGTAGTGTTGTCCGTTCATACAAACCAAGTAGTTATGAGCCCAATGGTTAAAGAACTCTTAGACCCTTTATGGAATTATTCTTGAGGTATGGATTAAACTAATCACAGTTTTAGTCGAAGAATCGCGCAAACTTAGATTACCAGCACTCGACAGTAAAAACTCTTTGATTATCAAACTTCTATCTAAGTAATAATGAAATATCAGCTTACATTACGCTGCATATTGTATTCACACATAGCGGTCTCTTATCAAATTTAAACCACATTTAATAACTAGCTGAACTTATAGTCTTTATTATTTTACGTAAATTTTGACCTGAAGACAGTCATCATTCAAGTGTATTGAACTGAATTTTTCCTTTAATTGGAACAGCTTGACTCAACCAAAGTATATCATCAGCATGTTACTTTGATCAGCATTTAATACAAACTACTGTTTGGCATTTTAAATAGACTAACCTAATATGCAACCGCACTCTACCACGGTGCCCAAAATCTACACTTCAAATGCTTAATAATTTAGCTCATTCGTTTTACAGCTAGCCTATATGGTGTAGGTCAGTTAAATATTTGTCATATTGGTTAAATAATAGTTAAGCGGTTCCAAAAAATGTATTCACATTAATATTTTCTCGTTGGTTCTACCATTTGTACATTTTGGATACTGTATCCAGTCTAGCTTTAAAAAAAAAGTTTTATTAGTTGATACGATATATTTTTGTCACTTTTATTTGTACATAAAATTATACTTGTTCATTGTTCAACAAAAATAAACAAAACATTTATTTCTGCAACCTTGTTTTGTTTACTATTCTTATAACATGTGTTAGCGGTAACTGTAAATTGTTTTTAACGTAGAATCATCATGAATCTTTTCCAGCCTGTTCAGCAACAAATGTTAAAAACTCCTTGAGATTTATTCGTCCATCTCGATCAGTGTCATATTTCTTCATATAATTTCGGACTGACTGTCTTACTTCAGGAGAATTTTCATTACCAAAGAGAGAACAAATTTCGTGGTAATCCAGTGTACCCGATCCATCTTTATCCAGTTTCCGAAAGAGACGTTTCCAGCTGTAGCAAGGAATAACGATAAGCTGTTATTGTATAGGCAAAAAATAAAAACATTTTAGGTTATCATAAAACTAGATCTAGGCAACGTTTCTACAGCTTTTTTCTGACTGTGTGTAAAGATATTTCATACACTGATTGGGAACATGAGAACTGCGAGACGATGGCGGAAACGAATGCATTAATATAAAGAAATTGGTTACTGTCATGTATATTTTCTTTGTTTGGGGTCAGAAAGAAGCTTCCTCTGTTTGACCCAGATTCATGGAAAAAGAGCTTGATAATTTAAATGGGGAAACACACAGGCACAAACGTATTTTGTTAGGTTCATTAAGACATTTGAAATGATACTGAGCCCAATACAAGATGAGATGCACTGTAAATTATAATCTAGGTGACCGCTTTATGCACAATTAACATTTAACACCGAATATCAAGAAATGTGTAATTAATATCAACAATGAATAAATCAACTAAACGTTTCAGAGAGAGAGAGTCAATGAGCTGTTGTACTTGTCCACTTCCTGTGGTTCCCAACAACTAAATGGCAAACACTAGCTAAGATCTTTCATTAATTGACGATGTAAAGATATTACGGTGGTTATTAAACATGAAGGCTTACAAGCCTTTATTCCCTAGGCTAAATTTTCTGACTATGGGAGCAATATGCATTTCAGAATTAGGGTTTAATTTCAGCAAGCTGTTTGTAAATTTCTGAAGGGTTCATTTCCATTCTTTCTAAAATGCGTCCAATGCACAGACGAAGGCATTACATACTAGTTCATTATATACTATATGGCATTATTATTATTATTATCAACAGCCTAACTGTTATTGAGGCATTTAAGTATGCCTGTAAGTTCGTTCGTCTGTTATTATTTCATGGAATGTTGTACTATTTTTACAAAGTTACCTGTTAAAGGCTAAACGCTGGAAACTGCTGGAATCCAATATTATTATTATTTATTATTATTGGTCCCTTGGGTTCCTAGTGGAACATAGGGCTTCAGTAGCACGTCTTCAGTGACCTCTGTTCTCTGAGATCTTTTGAACCTGGTCCCACGACAGCCCACAAGCTCTCATTTCCTCCTCGCACGACCTCCTCCATGTCACCCTCGGACGTCCAACTCGTCGCTTCCCATGGGGATTCCACTCGAGGGCCTGACGCGTGATGTCCTCAGTCGGCCTTCTCAGTGCATGGCCAATCCATCTCCACTTCCTCCTGCATATTTGTTGCGTGATAGGTTCTTGGTTGGTTCGTTCCCAGAGTTCCTTGTTGCTTATTTTTTCTGGCCATCTGATCTTCAGCAGCGAGCGTAAGCAGTTGTTGATGAATGTCTGTAGTTTATTGGAAATACCTTTCGTGACGCGCCAAGTCTCTGAGCCATACAAGAGCACTGACTTGACGTTGGTGTTGAAAATCCGCATCTTGTTCCACATGCTGAATGCAGTGCAGAAGATCTCCACACTGGTTTCAGGCTAATGAACGCCTGTCTTGCTTTTCCGATTCTGACTTTGACGTCCTCGTCTGTCCCGCCTGTAGTTGAAACAGTGCTTCCTAGATAAGTGAAGGAGGTTACTTCCTTCAAGTTTCTCCCGTTGACGGTGATTGGAGTTTGTTGCTGTTGTTGATGGTGGTGGTGCGGTATCTTCATCACTTCTGTCTTCTCTATATTCACCTGAAGTCCCGTCTTAGCTGCCTCTTCTGTCAACTTGTTAGCTTTCACCTGTGGATCTTCAAGTTTATGTGACATTATGCACAAGTCATCGGCGAAATCCAAGTCTTCTAGGTTCTTTTCCGTCGTCCAGTGTATCCCCCTCTTCTCGCTGCCTACTGTTTGCTGCATGATCCAGTCCACCACAATAAGGAATATCATGGGGGATAGTAGGCAACCTTGTTTCACTCCTGTCTTCACTTCAAAGGCATCAATGAGCTTCCCATTGTGGATTACTTGGCATGTGGCATCTTCATATAGTTGTTGAATGAGGCGGATAAAGGTTTGCGGTACTCCGTAGTATTGAAGCAGTTTCCAAATTACCTCTCGGTCGACGCTGTCAAAGGCCTTCTCAAAGTCGATGAAGTTGAGGTAGAGAGCTGATTGCCATTCTATACTCTGTTCTATGATGATGCAAAGCGTAGCGTTGCAATTTGGTCTGCACATGATTTGTACTTCCTGAAGCCTGCCTGTTCCGGTCGCAGTTTTGGATCCAGTGCATCTTTGAGCCTCTCCAGGATGATGCGGCTTAATATTTTGCTTGCTTTGGGTGGACAGGAGAGTGATTCCGCGCCAGTTCTTGCAAGCACTGAGGTCTCCCTTCTTCGGCAGTTTGACAAGGTAGCCTTTCTTCCAATCGTCAGGTACCTTCTCTTCCTTCCACACCTTCTGCAATAGTGGTGTGAGCATGTCCGCTGTTGTCTCTGCATCTGTTCTCAGTGCTTCTGGCGGTATTCCATCTGGTCCTGCTGCTTTCCCACATTTCAGTAGCTTTATGGCGTTCAGGACTTCCATTTTCGTTGGGGGATTAATGTTCACTTGTAGTTCAGCGGCTGCAGGTGGTATTTCTGGACGAAGTGCAGGTGGTGGTCGATTCAAGAGCTTCTTCAAGTGGTCGGCCCATCGTTTCCTCTGTTTCTCTTCTTTTCTAATTAAATTTCCTTCTTCATCTTTTATTGGTTTCATCTGTGTTGGTCTCTTCCCTGATAGCAACCTGGTTATTTGATACAATGTTGTCAGGTCTCTCTTACCTGCAGCCTGTTCTGCTTCACTTGCCAGTGTTTCGTAGAAGTGTCTTTTGTCTTTGCGTGCACTCTTCTTCACTTCTTTGTCCAGTGTTTTATACATTGTGCTCAGTTCCTCTTGTCGTTGAGCATCCTTGCACTGGTTTATCTTCTGCTTCACCATCCTCCTCTCCCTGCTCTATCAGCTTCCAGGTATCCGTCGAGATCCATTCCTTGTCTTCCACCTTCTTCCTTCCTAATACTGTTGTGCAGGTTTCCTTCCACATGGCTTTCAAAGACTTCCAGTGTTCTTCCACACAGGTTTCTTCAGGGATGTTGCTCGATGTCTCCCATTTTGTCTTGATGGCTGCCTTGAAGATCTCCTTTGTAGTTTCATCCTTCAGTTTCCGAGTGTTGTACTTGAGTTGAGGTCTATCACCAGCTTCCTTGAAGGCTTTTAACTTGATTTGGAAGGTTCCTTGCACTAGATAGTGAGTGGTCTGAACCTACATCTGCTCCTCTTCTTGACCTTGTGTCAAGTAGGCTGACTGCGTCTCCATTTTCTTGAGATTGAGATAAAGTCGATTTGATTTTTAGTGTGTCCATCTGGTGAAATCCATGTCGCTTTGTGGATATCTTTGTGCCTGAACACACTGCCTCCAATCACCAAATCGTTGAATGCGCAGAATTCTGCAAACAACTCTCCATTCTCATTCATTTCACCTAGCGCCTCTTGACCCATGGTTAGTTCTCTTCCCGTGTTGTCCCCTCCCAGTTTGGCATTCATGTCACCCTGCCCATTAGAATTTTGATATCGCCAACTGGTGTGTCGTCTTGTCCAGTGTTGATTGAAGTTGTCTGTAGAAATCCTCCTTTTTCTCTTGCTTTGCATTATTTGTAGGTGCATAACATTGTATGATTGTGACCTTTCTTCCTTTTGAGTTGAATCTTGCTGTCATGATCCTGGAGGAGATTGGTTCCCACTGCATGAGGGACAGCCTTCGATGCTCTTGAGGACATCATGATAGCCACTCCAAAACTCAGTGTGCTCGTGGTTGGCGTCTGGGTGACCGGAGTAGATTATTGATTCTCCAGTTGACAGTTTGGAGAGTCCACTCCCATTCCATCTGCTTTCGCAAATCCCAAGCACTTCGATGTGATACCTTCTCATCTCCCTTGCAATCTGGGCTGCCTTACTGGGTTCAAACATCGTGCGGACATTCCATGTCCCCACGTTTACTTTCGCTTTCATCGAGAGAAGACACATCGGCCAATTGGCTTCCCGAAGGCTTTCACCAACTGGCGTCATTTCGTCTCTCCGATTCCAACGAGGAATAATTTTGTTTTTATTTTTTATATTTTGTTTGTGCTTTGAAGTTTCTTTAGCGGTTAGATTTGGTTTACGGGGTAGGGTTGCTAGCCCTTTGCTCAACCTTCCCTCTTTACCCGAGCTTAGGACCGGCTAGTAACTAGTAAACTAGTTAACCAGGCGAGGTTGGAATCCAATAAGTAAGTAAAAATAATAGTGGTCTCATTGCTCATCACATTTGAATTTCACTGGTATCACAAAACAAAAAGAGCGTCTATTATCTTGATACTCATAGAATTAGTAAACTCACGAAGAATGAGTGACACAGAATGAACATAATTTGGAGGTTTTTTGGGATTTATTTATCGATTTCAAGTTAGTATGTATAATCGACTGACATTAGTTAGAGAAACATCGGAAACCTTGGAGCACTGGACTGCTGTTTCGTCTTAGTATAGAAGTCCTCATCAGTGTCTACACATGACCACTCCATGGAGGGAACCCAGGACCTTCAGGTCCCATGGCCAGCATGTAGACATCGAGCTGCTAGGTTCAATCGCTGATGGGTCACTAATGTGCTCCGCTGAGGAGTCCAATATTAGGACGAAGCAGTTGTCGATTTCTTCCAGGTTTCCGATTTTTCCCCAGGTAATATTGATCCATAATGAGTACCAACCTGAAAACTAGATCTGTACATTTACTGGTACGACATAAGACCAGTATAAGGTACAAGATAATGGTGAATCGCTTTCAAGAAAATCATTGAAAGTTATTTTTAGCAGCTGTTTCAAATTGTGACATGACTGTTTGAAAGTCACTATCGTGGGTCACCATAACTTATATAACTCACGAGAATACATTAAACGGCTTAATCATCATTTACTTTAATCAAACACTCACTATTAAAATAACTATAAAGCCGTCGTGATTTAATTAACGAAGCCAAGTAATAAGTGTGACTAAAGTCAGCGCATTCTTAATGTCAAGTTGAAAATATTTTGTGATCTTAATTCTAATTAGACCCTAATGTGAAAATATCCAACCATCAACATCACAAAACAGATGGTAATAGAAACAATTAAAAGATGCCCACTTGACCCAAGATCACTTTGCAGAGAAAAGATCAACAGCTTTCTGGATGTGATGATCTTCCACACAGTTTCCTGTACCAGTTCTGTAATGTTTGAATTAAACTGTTGAAAATTGAAGTCTTTTGCATCCGGTGCAAATTTAGAGTATATCTTTCATATGTTTCTGGTAGATAGTGGCTGGCAGGAAATCTCAAGATATACCTTTCACACTATTCATGATTCACCAGCTGTGTTTATCTACCTTTTAATAGTGACTATTTTAACTAAGACTCAAACCTAACCTCCGTCGCCTTAAACATCAGATCGTTACCCACTAGGCTACTGATTCATGTTATTCGCTCATTCCATGAAGGGTGTAGTTCTAATATTAAAGCGCGTGATTCTCATCCTTAATTAAACCAAATTGATTGGTCAATACTGATATATGGGATTTAGGTGGATGCTTCGTTTTGTAGGTAATTTCAGCTTGATACTGATAATGCATAGTGGATAGCAGTTGAATCAAGGCCATGCAGGAACCCACATGCATTCAGTTACCTATAAATTTATTTCCTTATATTATTAAACGATCATCACCCATAAAAGGCACTGAGACACAACCTCTGCTTCAGCTCAGTGAAGTAACTCAATAAAGAAATACTGAGGACGAAATAGCGCAACTTTGAATAATGCCTTCTGACTTGGTGCTTTTCTCATTCTCTTTATCCAGAAAGTAAGTTTCAGCCCGAATGGATGACTAATAAACCTCCTGACTGCAACACATAGATTGATTATAAAGAGAATAGCATAGAAATATGAGCGAAATAAACTAAATCTGTAATTTTTTACAGGACTTACGCATCAACTGACTGACCCGTCAGCCCAAGCATTAATCTGTATTCTCCGAAGCTAATCATACCGTCCCCATTTATATCAAGTATTTCCATTAGTTCCTGTAAGAAAAACACAAAATATGACGGTTGAGAAGTGTGGTAAAAACGTCTGAACATCTTTCAATCTATTTCCTGTTTTACTTATTCGTTGATGTAATAAAGAACTATCTTGAAGAAAGCATATATACTCTGAACAATAAAATCATATTTATAATAGCATGCTGCATGTAAAAAGCTTAATAATGTACCTCACAGATGTTATGCCATCTAGACTCCTGAATAAATGTTCAGACATTTTTCTTGTTGTCTACTGCTTAGAACTGACTGATGTATTTCTGAGCATATGTAGTACTTTATTATTGTGCACCGTTACGATTCATGGCTAGCACTACCACAGTAAATATGTGTGTATGTCAGTGGTGTCAAAGAATCCCTTTAGGCTGTTTTCACGATATTGACTTTCTAACAGTTAGAAACCCGAATGACAGCTACTATCTTTACATAGTGGTTAGACTTCCACATCACAATGACCCAGTGAGATATGCTGGTTGAGCTAATGGTATGTTGTGATTCTAACAAAGCCAAAACTTCTGCTGCTTAGTGGTAGGATGAAACTTAGTTACTGCTATATCTTAAATTCCTGCGCTACGACAATGATCCATGGTTAAATGCTTAATACTAATTGAACAGATGTTTGTTAGTAACTTGTCTCCAACAGATGACCAACAGTACCAAGTTGACGATACCTTCCCCACGGAAAAAGAAGGAAGTTCAGAAAGATCGACCAAAAATAGAACACTCCTTCTTATCATGCCGATGGCAAAGGTTTACACATGGATTCGAAACAAACAAACTTAAATTTCAAACTTCCTTAAAGATCGTGTGTGAACGGCCTCAGGTAGATTTTACTAGGATTGTGAGGTCATGGGCTGCTGCTACCAACGCAACTTCCTCTACAATTGCCTCAAGAAGAAGCCACCTTCCACGGTTTGCAAAGCTGCGAACTGTCAACTTCATCCACAACACTTGTAGAACTCAAGTTTTTTCATACCAATATCAAACTTTAACATCTTTACCTTCTGAACTTTCTCCACCACTCCTGGTGAATATCCTAATGTCATTTGAATTTCCTCCAGCTCTCCAGCTCTTGATAGCAATTCCAGTTCACGGTTTCATGAAACCACACTGCTTACTAAATGTAGAAGTCTTCAACACCCACACATCCCATCAAATTAGTCAACAAATTCCCCTAGCCAAAACTCTGGCTTCTCGAACCATTGACGTATGCCAGTTTGTGAGATACGCACATAAAATCCAAGTGTGATTAGTCACCTAATCGCGCTTGTCCAAATAGTGAGTTTGTAGAATTTTGTTTTTGAGTATCTAGGAATTCGATAACTATAAAGTGCACTGCCTGACTCCATACCACTTGATAGTTGCTTATGCTCTGTTTGAATGCTGGACTGAGAGCTGAAACTAGCAGTGAAACTTGCCACTCTCTTTGTAATTTCTACTAACGCACTGACTGACTGCAGCTAGGATAATGTGAAGGATAAATTCTACCGAAAACTACCTAGCCTCCTGTCGTAGGTCAAACGTTCAGATTTAGTTGTCGTGGAAAGTGATTTAAATGCACAAATGGGTAGCCTTAATCACAAAAAACTGTTTATGTAGCGATTTCAGAATCCCAGCCGATTTAACAGCCAACATTGTTCGTCTGCTATAACTGCGCTGAGACAGCTATCTATTTTTAACCGGCACTATCATCAGAAAAAAGGGTTATAAAGAGGAACAATACATCTTGACACCAACCCTGGTATTGATACGAGACAGAGATTACCAAAGACGTTTCACGCTGTGCCCTCGAACACCCATGGGCGTGTTAGAGTCTATGATGAGTTATCACATGAGATGTGTAAGTCGCGTAGTTTCCGTGAATGTTGTTTAGTCTGTTTCTCTTCTTATTCAACTTTATAATGGAGTACCTACAGAGGTCTCTTTCGCATGGTTTGAGCTTACAGGGATCGATCTTGTCAAAAAAGGCTTCTTATTAGTTCTAGAGCACATAAATGATATTATCCTATTAAGTGAAGAGCCTGACAAATACAGTCTACTGGACACCTGAAGTGACGATTTGAGAATTTTTAGGACACTTTTCTCGCCACTCAAATGTGAATTATAACTTTAGGACTGGTCTTCGTTGGTTCGTCGTTTCTCTTCTTGGTCTCTTAATCTGAGAAGATATGCGATAGAAGCACGGTGCAACGGATATGTAAGCGAAACTTGAGATAGCATATCACACCATCAACAGTGTCGTTCAAAACGTCACTGTCAAATATTTCCCAGTCTGTACATTGCAGCAATTCTCTCAAATTAAGTATGTCACTATGTGAATAGTTTCTGTGTACAATTTTCCTATACGTAAAGCCTGCTTTGTGTAGTTTGCCATATATTTTGGGCAAAACACGCATAATCTAATGGTCTGATTTGAGCAGTGGTCCTCTCTTTGAAGTTTCATTTACATTAGTATCACTGACGAATACGAAGTCTAGTATTTCATCCTGACGTCAGACTTCATTGTATACCTAAAGCAATGAAATCCTATTATCCTTGTCAATGCCTAAATACTGAGTTTAGTGGCAGATGACAGTTTTATCGCTAGCAGTATATAAGTCAGTGTAACTCCGATCGTCTTTCACTGTCATCTATATCCTTTTCCTAGTATTATACACTGCAGGTAACTGTGTGTCCTTCGCATCAGTTAAAGTAATTATTGCAGGGTACCAAATCGATGAATCCCATCATCAGATTGAGAAACTGTAAGCTGAAAGCATTTCTAAAAAGCGGACTGCGAGGAGTGTTTGTAATTTAAATCTGTCACATTTGTATAAAGTAAGAACAAAGAAGGTACACCACTGCAATAACAGTAAAGCGAACCTTCCATGTACGGTTACACCCTAATAAAAATATAGGGCGAAACAGTTAACAATTATTTAAACTTCATTACTGTTGATAATGAAAGCTAAGCGAAGTACGTAAATATTCTTGGATCCAGAAATCCACCTGCTTAGTTCTGTGTCCTATGTTACCTATCCCACAGAATATGTAAGATAAGGAGCTAAGATAAGGTAGGCTATCCACTAGTTTTGGTTCGAGCAGGCGTTTTGGTAGCATCCTATCTGGAGCATCTCCCCTGAATTGTATTCGCCAAAACAAAGTCTTCTTCTTCACTGTCGTCAGCTCTCTTTTGGAATCACTGTGAGCCATGTTTACTGTGATGAACTTATCAGTTTACATGTTTTCATTGGGAATATCGCAAACATAAAGTAAAATGTGTTATCCAGGTCGACTTTGCCCATCTTTCATCCGCCAGCCAATGCTAAATCCAAGACTAAAGGGTAGCCTGCTAACCTTAGCTCCTCATCTTGTATATATCAGTGTGACTGCTACTATGGAACAAGTAACACAGAACGTACGATTAGGCAGGTGGGTCCACAGAAACCAGAACATTTACCAACATAGATTGGAAAAGACGTAGTGAAAGTGGCGAAAAATCCGATCGTGTAGATGCTAATTAACCTTTCAATGTCTTACATCATGTAGCAAAAATATTGTCACATGTGACTTGACAATGTCTATTCAAAATAGCCGAGGCCTCCTCAATAAAATCAAGCTAACCTCAACATTGCATTCAGAAAGAACATGATCAAGTGTTATTCCTCCCCAGGACTTCAATGAATGAAAGGCTACTCCTGTCTTTTTGTTTGCTGTCACATTCTTTATCTGTTTGCATAAAATCTTAATATTGACAAATTTAAAAACAAAAGTAGGTTTTCTTATAGTCCCTGGCTCACACTTCAAGTGAAAATTCCTTCATCTAAAATCTGGTTTGTTTTACACTGCAGAATTGCATTTTATTGTTGTAGAGTCTGAATAGAGCGTATTGAGCAGAATTTTCTTCTTTTGGATAGTTTTTAATTCATGCTGTGAAAGTCTTCAGGTGCTTAAAATCTCATAACACTTATTCAAAGGACTATCCATAGTCAACCGAAAACGACAGCGATTATTATATAAGTTCAGGGGGACAACTTGAAAAGTTAAAAGTCACTTCCATCCATCAACAATAATAATGCCAAATCAAGGCTATCTCATGTAGTCTCACCAATTATAAAATAATATCAGTACCATTTCGAAATAACATGATCAGCCTAATTATTCGCGAATATAAACGCATTCACATTCTGAAGGCTAAATGGATTATGATACAAAAGATCAATGAAGCCTGATTAAAACTCAAAATTAAGGGAGATACTATCGGCACAAAACAATGAACGTAGCAGACATAAATATAAAAAGAAAAATGACAAAGAAACCGATGTGTACGTTTTACTATCACACATACCTTATTACTTACTGTTCCCAATGTTGTCTTACGAAAATTAAATGAAGAGAAGATAGTAGTTTAAAGGGTAGTGTTTACAGGCAATCGTCACACTTCAATAGACAACTGTATATTACATAATCTCACCACACGTGTTCAACTAATTCAACCAGGAATCTGACTAATGAGTCAGAAGATCTAAGTAACGAACTGAACCATGCTAAAGAGGAACTAACGTTTAATAATTGCACTTCCGAGACTGTTGAAAGGTTTATCAGGACGTACTAAAGAAAGAACAATAATATTATTGGTACTTGCAACAGGCCTATGAGGGAACTCAAATCTTCTGTTGTGTTACCACATAGAGAAGGGACATAAGAAATTGTATGTAGGATTCTTGATTACACATGTAATACGAACCCACAAACAGACAGACACTTTGTAAGCTAAGGGACTCAGTAGATTGAATTTTGAAAGATAACATTATCTATGAAATATAATGTAATGATTGTTAGGTCAAGCTTACAGGTCACAGTGGATGATCGTGGTAAGTTAGTATACTAGAGCGAAAACTTTAGTATAATATAGGAGTAAAGCTTGGGCATTGTGATCGATTGTAATTCCATTTTAGTCTGTTTATTAGTAATATAACACAGTGAAACAGCATCATTTACTGGAT